TAGGGAAAAAGGTTTAGGGTCTAGGGCTCCAAGAAGTCTACGTGTATTGTAGGGGCTTTAGTTTAGGGGTTTGGGGGGTTTAGGATTTAGGGTTCGGGGTATTCATACATAGGACAAAATCCTAAAATCTACGGTCCCGACCCGTGGGGCCCCTACCTTGTTCCTGGATGCTAACTAGGGGCTTTTAATTGGGCTTATAGGGTTCTGTATAGGTATGCAAGGACCCCAGGATTACATACTAGCGGCTCTTAGTTAAAAACCTTAGAAACAAAGGAAGGACATCCAGAATCCATGTACGTAGGGTCTCGGGGGGTCATCAATCTAGTTTTGAGCCCAGTCGTCCTTCGGCCAGCCAGCATGACTTGCGGCATGCTAGCGGAATAAGATGCTTGTATTCGAAATAGTAAAGAGAAGTACATGGCAACAATTGTGTAGGGGGGGAATGGCAATATTAATAGTCATGAGGCGCGGAAGGATTGGAGTTTGCAGCGCTTTAGACCCTAAACCCTACACTAGGTTGCCGTTAAGGAACCTGATTTAAGTTACTATGTTGGGGAAACCTTATTATTTACGATGAATACCCATTATGGTAACTTAACTTAAGTTCCTTAACAGCAAGACAGTAAACCCTAAACCCCTAAACCCAAAACCCCTAAACCCTAAACCCCTAAGCCCCCAGGCCCCTAAACCCCTAAGCCCCTAAACCCATAAGCCCCTAAGCCCCCCAAACCCTAAAGCCCTAAGCCGCACCCTCAACCCTAAGGGTACATATAGGGTATATAGTAGGCATATAAGGATCCCAGGGTTAAGGGCCCATATCCCTGAACCCTACACCCTAGACCCTGAAACCCTATAACCCTTGAACCCTAAACCATAAACCCTGAACCCCATACCATACTAGGGGCCCATGGTTTCAACCTTTTAACCATGTACTGCGAGGCTGGACCTTGACCACAAGTGCAGGAAGAGAGGCCACAAGGCACGTGGAAGCCTCTAACCTGTTGCTGTTGATTAATTTAAGTTACTATAGGGGGGTATAAGATAGGGTTTAGGGTGTAGGGTCTAGAGTTTAGGGCCATATGATCCCCCTATAAAGGAGAATCAAATGGAAAAGAAATGGAAAATGAAATGGAAGCTGGGGGAATATAGGGATATAGGGAGCTTCATTTGAGTTACTACATTGGGGAAACCATATCAGTTATTATAGATATGCCCAGTATGGTAGCTTGCCTTAAATTCCTTAACAGCAACCCAGTAACTCAAGGACACCACAAGGTGGGTGGTCTTAGGGTTTAGGGTCATATGAGGCTCACATGAGGCTTGTGTAAGGGTAATGAGGTTATGTGAGTTGTTGTTTTAACCTCCTTTCTTTAGGGTTTAGGGCTTCTCACATAAAGCTCTTGTAAGGGTAATGGGGCTATATGAGCTATAGTCTAAACTCCTAAAACGGGAATATATGGTGGGTTATACTTGGGAATACTATAGGGTTTTTTCAGGTGGATACTTGGAGTTTAGACTATAGGTCATATGAGGTCTTTCTTTCGCCTCCTTTAAGGGCACCCGCCTGATAACTGCCCACTTGAAGCCCTACAATATCCCTAAACCCTAAAGCCTAAATACTAGTTTCCATTTTCTGTTGCACTATCCCTATATAAGCCCATATTATACTCCTATATTCCCATATTCCTTACTAACCCTCATAATATACCCCTAATTGGCCAACAGCTTTGTCCGGCTGATGTTCATTACCTGGACCCCGGAAGTCCTTCCTTCTTGGGGTTTAGGGTTTAGGGTTTGGGGGTTTTAGGGTTTTAGGGTTTAGGGTTTTAGGGTGTATTGGTGTTTATTAGGGTTTTACGGTTTAGGGTGTTTCATTTTTTGATTTTATCCCCCAAAGAACGAATGTTTTCTTGGGGTTCAGGTAGAGTATGGCCAAACTTTCATGGGCTCTGGTTGGAGGGCGTGTTGGAACTGGCAGGCACGCGCCAAAGATGGGAATCATCCTGGAAGGAAAACAGCTTGCCTCCTCCGCAAGTGCTGTGCATCCTGCTTTGGGCTTGAGGTTTAGGGCTTAGGTTAACTACGGTACTTGGGTTGTACATAATGCTCTTACCTGTCCTGTGAGTAACCTCTACTTTTGGAGGGTATTCTAAAGCGCAATATGAACAAAAAGGTTAACCTTGAGCAAGCCCTGGACACTGGACATCTAAGTACTAACTATGGCGTAAAAAATCTACTAGCTGTAGGCAATTGAGGTTATGGGGTTTAGGGTTTAGGGTACAGGTAGGCCTTAAACTTATTCCAACGGCGTTACATGTGTGATTTGCATGTGCCGTTGTCCGCCGCTGGCCTAAGCCCTTTTTAAAAAAAAGAAAAAAAGCTGTTTCAGACAAGCACTGGATCAAGTGGTCTGGCTGTTTTTGGGGCAGCCTGCTTGTGTAGGTGCCATGTCATGATAAGGACTGCCCTACAGCAACCCATAATCTCTGCAACTCCTTGTAAAAACCCATTTCGAGTTCATGTTCCATGTTTTTTCCAGTCGATTCTCGATGATAGGTAAATATAAAAATCGCTCTCAGCCCAAAACCCTGGACACTGAACCCTAAACCCTAAACTCTACATTTTGGGGGTCAGCTCTTGCACGCCTCTGACCGCATGTGGCTGCCTTTGAATGTCCCAGCCGGAATCGCTCGAGCAGGAGCTGTATGAGACAGTGGCCGACAAGCAGGCGTCTTTTCCTGGCGTTTACAGGGGTTTAGGGTTTAGGATTACGGGTTTAGGGCTCAGGATTGTTGGGATTCTTCAAAACCCTAAACCGTACTTCTCCATCAATTGACGTCTGCTTTGTGGATTTCGTAGGGGCTCGTGTCCCTTGGCCCGGCGTCCTGCTTTGCGCAAGGCATTTCAAGTCAAGCTGCGGCAGCTGCGCTCGGAAGTCCGGCTCGTAGAAGCCAGTTTGGAGGCATCCTCGAGTAGCCAGGGTTTATGGGTTTTGGGGGTTTATGGGTTTTGGGGGTGTAGGGTTTTGGGTTTAGGGGTTTTGGGTTTCGGGTTTTGGGGTCCGGGGTTTTGAGTTTAGGGTTTCGGGGTTCAGGTTTTAGGGGTTTAGAGTTTTGGGTTTAGGGGTGTTGGGTTTGGAGGTGCCGTTTAGGCTTCAGCTGCACAGCAGCTTTGCACTCTTGCTATCTGTGATCAATCAGCTTTTGCATTCTGCATATTTGGCTGTGGCAACATAGGCACCAAAAGATGATCTTCCTACTATAGGATGAAATCAGCGTAGATCCTGGTACGTCAGGCCCTCCAGCAAAAAGAGAGCTTCCTAACGCATGAGCTCGTGCGGAGCTCAGTACAACATGCTGTGTTGCTTCAGGCGGTTCCTGGGTTTCAAGGGTTTAGGGTTCGTGTTGGAGAATCAGATGGACAAGAAAGTGGAAAGGGGCACTGGGGCAACGGTTATCATAACGAATTTGAGGTACCAGAACGAGGAAGCCATCTTCTTTTATTGAATATCCATGTAAGGGTAACTTAGCTTAAGTTCTCTAACAGCAGCCCAGTCCAGCCTGAAAAAGGCATGAAACCGATAACCCCTAAACCCTTAACCCTCAAACCCTTAAGCCCTAAACCCTAAAGGAAAAAACTACATAGCCCCATTATAGTAGTTTCCATTTTCTTTTCCATTCTCCCAATTAACCCCAATATTACCCCAATATGTTCAAACTCCTGTCCTTCACGCCTCTCAGAGGGTTCAAAAGGTGGGGTAAAGCAAGGTGGGGTATATGAAATAAGCCCCAGTATAGTATATACTCCATCCCGCCCTTTGAGCCCCCTGATCCTCTTGGCATGGCAGGCAAAGCGTACAAAGGTTCAAAAGGAGCTACCATCCGTGGATGATTTCGTTCAAGGCAGGGCGCTGTTAAGGGTTTACTGGGTTGCTGTTAAGGAACTTAAATTAAGTTACCATAATGGGTATATATAGTAAATAATAGGGTTTCCCCGTACAGTAATTTAATTTAAGTTCCTTAACAGCAACCCAGTTTAGGGTTTAGCGCCTCCAGGGAGCCGCAAATGTAGCGCTGTTAAGTTTCCATCATGCATGGATGTACAGTGAACACGAGGCAAGAGTTTTCTGTAACTTAAGCTAAGATTCCTGAATCCCTAAATGAGCCATGGGTCTAAATTCCTGGAAGGGGGTTATATCGGGGATTATATAGCAGACTACCATAGGCTTGCTAAGCGGGATATTAGGAGTTTAAACTATAGCTCAAATAACCCTAAACACCTAGACCCTAAGGCAAGAATCCTAAACCCTGAATCCTCAACCTCGAACCTTAAATCAAAAATTCTAAGCCCTGAACCCTCAAACCCCAAACGTTCAACCCTACATGAAAGTTACCCTAAACCCGACATTAAGGTTTACCAACTCCAACCTAGAAGCAGTCTCTGTCAGGCCGCGCGCTGGAGAGTGCAATCCCCAAGTTTTACGACTTGGAGAAGGAGAGTTTAGGGTGTTTAATCTTTAGGGTGTTTAGGTTGTTTAGGGTGGACGGTTTAGGGATTAAGGTGCAGGATTGAGGGTGGAGGGTTTAGGGGTAATACCTAGGGGGTTACGGTTGATATGGGTATCATATCGGGGTAGATGAGGATTTACGATACAGTATAGCCTTTAGGGCTATACCTAGAATGAAGAATCAAATGGAAAAGAAAATGTGCAAATGAAATGGAAGCTACTATTCCGGGTTTAGGGCGCTATGTCAGTGGGGCTGTCTATGGAGGCTGCTGTAAGCCATAAACATCCATAAACCCTAGAACCTTAAACCCCAAATCCTAAACCCTAAAACCCTTAAACCCTAAATCCTACCCTACAACCCTGAACCCTATGCCCTAAAACCCTAAATCCTAAAACCCTAAACCCTTAAACCCTAAAACCCTAANCCCTTAAACCCTAAACCCTAAAACCCTATATCCTATACCCTAAAACCCTTAAACTTTAAACCCTTAAACCCTAAACCCTAAAACCCTATACCCTAAAACTCTTAAACCCTAAAA